ACCCGTCCGCCTAGTGCGATCTAGTCCTCGTAAGTTAGCATTTACTTTGAAAAACAAAGCGCGCTGAAAAAACAAAGTTGATTTAGTTATAGCGAAGCGTCCCTTGAGCACGCTTTGTTTTTCAAATGAAATGTTAACTTACGAGGACTAGATCACACTAGGCGGTTATTTTGGGTTAGTTTGAGTAAGTCTGTATTTTCTTGATTATTATTGGTTCAAATTGATGTCGCAATGCAGACTCTCTCAAACTAACCCAAAATAACCCGTCCGCCTAGTGCGACATAGTCTTCGTGAGCTTTTTACATAAAAAAAACAAAGTTAATTTATTTACAGCGTAGCGTCTCTTAAGTGCGCTTTGTTTTTCAAATAAAATGCAAACTTTCGAGGACTAGGTCGCTCTAGGCGGACGGGTTAGTTTGAGTAAGTCTGCATTTTTTTGATTATTATTGATTCAATTTGATGTGTCCCTCTTCTGCTTAGAGGTCGTCGTTGTAAATGTCGCTCTTTTGATATGTCGCTGTTTTGAATGTCGCTATTTTGATATGTCGCTGTTTTGTATGTCGCTATTCCGATATATCGCTTTAACAATGTGTTGCGTTTTTGATGTCGCTATTTCTAATATTATCCGATGACATCAAAACACAGATAGACCGAACAATAAACAAAATTTTCGTATGACAACATCTCTCTGTCTCTTTTGGGCCTTTGTGCTAGCCCCACCACTGAGAATGCCAAATTTTGTCTTGAATCCCTAAATAATATATTTACCTCCTTTTCTAATAAACGTTTTCAATTTTATTTCTGAACCCAATTTGGCAACAGCGGATTGTAGCAAAACGCCGCCCAGAAGCGGCTTGTTCGATGGCAGGCAGTTGTTGGTTGGAGTAGCTAGCTATCTTTATCGCACACAGGGATTATTCATTAGCGGTGAACAAGAAACGACCAATGCGATATTGGTACTCCCAGAATAAAGTGCTCGTATTGAATATTTTCAGTTCATTTGTCAAATTGTCATTTTATTTATTCATCCAATTAATTTTTAAGATAAATCCACGTGTGGGCAGGGTTTTTTTTTCGCCATTTTGAACATTGATGTATCCCCACCCCGACCCCGCGAGCAACTCACCTCCCCTGGCCCATGGTTGGTCTTGTCAACACAACAAATATCAGTTTATGAATGGGATGATCCGTCTATTTGTGTTTTGATGTCATTGATATTATCCCTCTTTTGAACCGGAGCCGACCAGGAAATGGTAAATGTACTGAATAAAAACGACATTTTACTACTCCGGTTACAACCTACCGCATCACTGAAATGGAGTAGTCTTTTTGGTCAATAGGCATACCAACAGCGCTGGTTCAAAAGAGCGATATTCGAAATAGCAACATCAAAAACTCGACATATTGGTAAAGCGATATATCAAAATAGCGACATTCAAAACAGCGACATGTGAAAAAAACAGCGACATATCAAAAGAGCGACATATGTAAAATACGAGATTTAAAACAGCGACATATTAAAAGAGAGACATTCACAACAGCGACCTCTAAGCAAAAGAGGGACACATCAAATTGAATCAACAAGAATTACAAAAAAAATCAGACTTACACAAACTAATCCGTCCGCCTAGAGCGATCTAGTCCTCGTAAGTTAGCATTTTATTTGAAAAACAAAGCGCGCTCAAGACACGCTACGCTATAAGTAAATTAACTTTGTTTTTTTTTTAAAATAAAAAGTTTACGAGAACTAGATCGCACTAGGCGGACGGGTTAGTTTGACTAAGTCTGCATTTTCTTGATTATTTTGGGTTAGTTTGAGTAAGTCTGCATTGCGACACCAATTTGAACCAATAAGAATCAATAAAATGCAGACTTACTCAAACTAATTCAAAATAACCAGTCCGCTTAGCTAAATCAACTTTGTTTTTTGTAAATAAAATGCTAAATTACGAAGACTAGATCGCACTAGGCGGACGGGTTAGTTTGAGTAAGTCTGCATTTTCTTGGTTATTATTGATTTAAATTGATGTGTCGCTCTTTTGTTTAGATGTCGCCGTTTTAACTATCGCTTTTTTGATATGCTGTTGTTCTGTTTAGATGTCGCTCTTTTATTATGTTATTCTTTCGCTATAACGCTGTTTTGCTTAGATGCTGCTATTTCGAATGTCGCTATTTTCAAATGTCACTGTTTTGATGTGTCTGGGGGATTGGGATCTTTTGGGGTTTTAATGAATTAAAACAATAAGTCCGAAAACATTAGGAATTATGATTAATAGATGAGAACACAATTACACATAATTTTTAAATGGTAAATAACGCGGTACTTACCGGAGACCCATCTTTCTGTAGCACGTAGCGTAGCCCGCCCGTAGCACAACTTTAGCGCCCGAATTTAGATTTACAACTTACTTGAAAATGACGCCCTATCGATCCAAATCGATTCAGGAATGTCAGCAAAAATCATTGACTAGGTCGTTGGCTCTAAACTTTTTGCTAACATCCTGATGCGTTTGCTTTATCTTATATAACATCCTTATTGCCCAACTAAATTGGGACATTACTTGTCAATGAACTTTGGTTAATTCCGAGGTTAATTCGTATTGAGATAATAATGTTGTAAGGGGTGATATTTTTTGGCTTGACAATATGATGGCTTCCCGTTGCCTTTTGGGCGAAAACATTCCTTGCAAACAGCCCTCACACCCCGACAGATTAGGCACGTTTAAATTTTGTTTATTATGTAAAATTGCAACCCATTTAGATGCCATTCAGAAATTGTCATCAATTCCTTCGAATTTATTCGTGTCAATATTTTTTGTTCAAACAAAAGTTCACGGAATAATGATGTAAGTTGCCTCACTCTCACCGATATTCCTCTTTCTCTTCTCATTCGTTTTGAAAAGCGATGAGACCCAGTCAGTCAAAGTTCCGAAAGAGATAAGACAAAATTGTGTCTTTATTCTATTGCTTAAAGAACCAACAGAAACAGTGGCAAAAAGAAAGAAACCTCTATGTGTGAGCATATTTTTGAAATTATTACCTTGTATTTTTTTTTTGCTGCTTACTCTTATAATTCTTTTTATTATTTGCCTACTCTTTTTATTATTTGCCTACTATTTTTACTATTTGCCTACTCTTTTTATTATTTGCCAGTTTTTAGCTTCAATATTTCTTTTCACGCTGCAACTTTTATAATTTTTAAGTTATTAATAAATATGTGTTCTCTTTCAGTTCGCGTCGATCGTACGACAAGACGACCATCAAACTATTTGGTGGGTTACATACGCGACGTGCGCGCTTAATCTGCCTCACACAACGTTTCAGCTTTCATCATCAGTGTTTTGCATCATCACGCCGGGCGTATAAATTTTCACCTCTACTATTTTAGTTTCATAAGACTATAGGTTGTTTTATTATTTATTATTTAATGGTATAGCTTATATTATACTATATGAGTCATTTTCTGTCAAATACTATATCACTTGTAGTTGGCGGAAAATTACTTTTCCACGTGCAATATTTCTGAGTGTGAGATACCTCTAAATTAGAGCTTGGGCATTTCGAAAAAATTCATTTAAATTAAATCAACCAAAGAAAAAGAAAATTTATTTGGCCATTATTTTCTAGTCAATAATTTTTGATCGCGTCTTATAGGTAAGTGTTGCTCAACTTTGCCTTCATTAATATACACCAGACAGCAGGTACTTTTCTTGAACTTAAATCCTCAAATATTTTCTTTAGTTGGAAATTACAAATGAAAACTTGTTCTAATAATTAGGTTGACGTTCATCCTCAGATTGTCGTTTATTTCAAATTCAGATTCGTCGACAATTTTATCTGTTTTTTGAAGTTTCATCTTCCAGGATAAGATGTTCACATTTAGATAAAAGTTCGTACCTATAGATATTCCAATATCCCTGTAAATTTGTCATATGCTTTTGTGAGAATCTTAAATTTCCAATTTGCATCTGCCATGCCTTCTTTGATTTTATATTTTGCTTCGACGTATCTCCACCAGGATTTGAATATTTCATATTTTTGCTTGCGACTGATTGCTAGAGTATCATTTTAAAACAGTTTTTTTGAATCTTTGCTCAATAAATGTTTCGTTTTACATTCCTGAGTCTTCTATTTCTCCTCTTTTCGTTACTCACTAATATTCTCATGTTAATTAAACTTCATTATCATTGTCAATAAAAAAAATATTTGAGGATTCGTTTTTGGTTTTTCTGGCCTAAAATGCTCATAAAATAATCCTTTCTACCTCAACCTGACATCCAATTGGCCAAAAAAAAAAAACAAATATGTACCTATATTTTTCAACTAATTCTAGCATCACGTATGTAAACAACAGCTCAATAAGTATAATGGAAAATATGTGATTTTAAAATTAAAAACCGAAATGACGGGCCTTAGCACTCGTTTCAAATTAGTTCATCAATTTTTTTTTATTCGTAACACCCAGAGGTATGGTTTCACATTGATGGAGTATTGATTTTTGTGTAAATATTGTTTTGCTTATGAATACATTAATAAAAGTGGAAAATAACAATGTTAGGGATTATTGAGTGCATTGTATTCAGATTTTTAATTTTATTTTGCAGAGATGAACAAAAATATAAATTCGTGTGCTTTGAAACAATATGTAGCTTCTGATTGGTGATAAAATAGCTTACCACGTTCAAGAGACTAATTTTTTTGTTCATCCTTGTGCCAGAATTTAGTTGTAAATATTAATTGCAGATTTATTTACTTTTAAGTTAATTATTAATTTATATACAAATAATTATCGACAAAAAAAAAATTAATTAATATTAATATATTCATTTGAAGACATTATAACGCATCTAATGGTAGTTTGTAGTGATAAGAGCCTTACACGATGGTAATAAAAAGTATTGTAGCCGACAAATTTTGTGTGTTTTATTTTTAATTTTTCATTTCGCGCTGAAAATGTGTAATATCTCGAGACGCCTTGGGGCTCGGGGGGGTTCATTTACCCTTGTGTGACGTCAAAAGGCGAATCCCTGAAGTTTTCCCTAGACTGTTGTCCTTGTTTAGGCTTGGCTGGCGCCGAAAACTCCATTTCCATTATTGATCGTTTGTTTGCCTTTAAAATAAAGTCCGGCCTGGATGGTTTTATATTTTTTTTTTTTTTTTAGGCCGCATAATTGAATTGACTTTCGTATCGCTTTTGGAAAGTTTCAAGTTTGATGATGGTGAATAAGATTCGGTCTAGGCTGAGTGGGTTTTTCGTTTACAAAGAGTTTTTTTTGTAAAAGTGTCTCGAGGCTTTGGGGGAATTATTTATGAACTACGAAAATTGAGACGGTCAAGTCAATTTTCTCGGCAACCATAAATCTGAGCCATAATGAGTGGAGAGAGAACAATAACTGGAAAGATAACTTTACTTTGCTGAGGCGAAATGAGGTAGATAAATATGAAGTCTGTCGAAGAAATTGAAAAAAAGTTGTGGAATTGTTGGCATTGGAGTTGTGGTTGGGTTTGAGGAGCTTAAGCTGAATCTTGATCTTGAGTTTGATCTTTATATTTTCGATATCTGCAGAAAAAGTGGCGGATTATGTTGTGTCAAGCAACTTTAAAATAATTGGCAATTTAGGATTATTTATTTACATTGTAAAAATCCGACAAAAATAAGTATACAGGGTTGCAACATTTATTGTGAACGTGATATGACTTTCAGGATAACTGCAAAAATTCACACCAGTGGTGATTCACAATTTGAAAGTCCGAAAAAAAAACTCCCTCTAAATTGATAATAGTCTTCCGTACATAAGTGTAACGATCCAGAAAAATGAAGTATTGATTTCAGGGTTGGCATACACAAAAACCCAGTGGGGTTTTGACTTTTGACACAAAAACCCACCATCAATATTGACCAAAACCCATTGGACTTTATGCTTTTTGTGTTAAAACCCAACTCATACAGAACTCATTCCTATCAATAGTACCAAATATCAATCCAAAACCTAAGATTTTTCGCATTTTTTTTTCTGCATTAAAGAAAATAAAAATCCTAAGGAAAAATAGTCACCTAATAGGTTTTTTAAATCAAACAACTCTTGAATACAAAAGTAAAAATTAGAAGTAACTTTTTTCAAGATAACTACTAGTAGTAACGTAACGGAAAAAATAATTTGTAATAATTAATAAACTAGTGAATAAATAATTGAAACCAAATTATAGTTATTAATGATACTAGTTCGATATGAACACCATAATGAAACGCGTGTAACGTTAAACCACGAGGCGTTAGCCGAGTGGTTTAGTTACACAAGTTTCAATAATAAAGTTCATATCGAACGTGTATCATTCAAAATTTAATCTACGATACAGATTTAATCTACAAATAGATTTGATTTGCCTTGAAATTGCAAATAATTTTAAAATTAAAATTCAAAATTTAGCAGGTACCAGTACTAGTCGGGAACCTGCTTGTTGATTTTTATTGACTTTGGCAGCTTCAATATTGGAGCCAATTTTTGTGCCGCAAATTTAGTTTTATAGTGGAAAATAATGTTAATATTGGTGATTCTGAGTTCGAAAGTGTCTCTTCGAATATCGAGACAGCATCAATGAAAAGGTTCTTCTGGTGACTAGCTTTCTTTTTGTATATTTTTCATTTCATAATTTGGGTGTTTTTATGAATTCTTAAACGCACTAGTGCTATTATGAAGGACATTCAAATGACAATGCTAAATGTGTCATAATGACATCGACGTAGATTAAAATCTTAATAGGTTTGTAGAGAATTTAATTGGGTTTAATTAAGGCTTAACTACATTGAAATCGGATGAAAATTAACGGAGTTCTGAGGCAAAAACTGTCTCAATGTAATTTTTGGCAAATTTTCAATAATAATAATAGTAATAATAATAATATTAATATGCGGCTTCCAGATTAAACACCAAAGCAGAGTGAAACACAGAATCAATCATCTGCTTTATATGGACGACATCAAAATATATGCACCAACACAGACACAAATGAGGGGATTACTGAGAATAACGGAAAAAGTTACAACAGACATCGGAATGGAATTCGGAATCAGCAAATGCAAAACATTATATATAGAAAGGGGTAAATGGAAGGACGAAGTCGACACAGAAACACTAAACAATGAAAAGCTTGATAACATGCAAATTGATGAGGCATATAAATATCTGGGATATCAACAGAACACAAGAATAGATCACATGACAATAAAAAAAACAACTAACTAAGGAGTTCAAGAATCGTTTAACTCTTATACTAAATACAAAATTAAACTCAAAGAATCTGTTCAAAGCTATTAACACGTTCGCCATCCCGCTACTTACATATTCCTTCGGAATAATTAAATGGACAATAACAGACCTGGAAAACATAAACATCCTCACAAGATCTGAACAGACGAGGAATAGGAAACTACACCCAAACTCATGTAAACAGAGAATCACAATGAGCAGGAAGGAATTGAAGGAAGGCGGGAGACACTAGTAGACATTCACGTACTCTATGCAAAGCAGATACAAACCTTCAGAGAATACTTCCACAGCAAGCAAACTTCATTACACTCAGCAGTCGCACAAGCAGATAAAGAATACACACCACTTAACCTTTCTCAGTCTGAAACACAATCACAACAAATACAAACACAACAACAAAGAATGGAGGAATGGTCACAATAGAAGCTACACGGAAAACACTTGTACAGGGTGTCCGAATTTGGATGGTTTTAATAGGAAACGTCAATTTCTGAGCAAGATTCAACAAAATGAACCCCCCACTCCGAGGCTCAAATTTCTTGAAATTTTGATTGGTGCAAACCGCATTTTGATATCTTCAAGAGTTTAGCCGTTAGAGGGCGATTCTCGATTTTGAGCAATACTGTGAAATCTTCATAACTTTTTTGTTTATGAAAATAACTGATTTCCGTAAAAACTTCCTGGAAGCACTTTTTTAAGCAGAATTCAGTGACGTTTTCAGTTTTTTTCTATTGGGCCTCGGTTTCAAAATATTGACCAAAATCCGATTTTTTTCAATGGGACACCCTATATATTAATAGCTCTTTAGAAAGCTCTGCTTTTGCTGATTTCAATGATACAAATTTCGATGGGTTTATCTCTAACAGTTTTCCAGAAAAAAAATTATTTCGGTTTTTGTCATAAGAAACAATGAGTTAGAAAGAGACCTTTCTCATTTTCCTTACAAATATAAAGACCTGTTTTAACACATTGTTTCTTATGGAAAAAAACGAAAAAATCGTTTTTATCGAAAACTGTTAGAGATAAACCTATCGAAATTTATATCATTGAAATCAGGAAAAGGAAAGCTTTTAAGAGAGCTATTAATATATAGGGTGTCCCATTGAAAAAAATCGGATTTTGGTCAATATCTTGGAATCGACGCCCAATAGAAAATCTGAAAACGTCACTGAATTCTGCTTGAAAATGTGCCTTCAGGAAGTTTTTACGGAAATCAATTATTTTCATAAACAAAAAAGTTATGAAGGTTTCACAATATTGCTCAAAATCGAGAATCGCCCTCTAGCGGCTAAACGGTTGAAGATATCAAAATGCGGTTTGCATCAAAATTTCAAGAAAATTGAGCCTTGGAGTGGGGGGTTCATTTTTTTGTATCTCGCTCAGAAATTGACGTTTCCTATTAAAACCATCCAAATTCAGACACCCTGTACATCATGAACAACGAACAGATTCAAAACAAGAATCATATAGATGGCTGCAGAAAGGACAACTCCACCCAGAAACAGAAGGCTTTATACTCGCCATACAGAATCAGGTGATAGCGACCAGGAACTACCAGAAATATGTATTGAAAAATACAGAGGTAAGCGACTTATGCAGAAAATGCCACCAACACAAGGAGGCTGTAAAATACTGGCAAACATGTCAAACACAGACACAGATCACCTAACACAGATGCGTAAGTACATATACTTGCCGTCGACGATATTCTGTGACGAAGCCGGACTGCCAGCAACTCCACGCATAGATAAAGATCGCCCGCGTCAGGACAATTAACGTGGCCGAGTGCGTGAGCATGTTCCAGCCTGTGTGTTTACATATTTTTGCGGGTAGAATTTTTATTTATTTTTGCTGTTTGTGAACCAATTAAAGAAATAATATTATATTATTGAGCTTCTGCATTCATATAATAAATATGTTCAAAATACATTGATGTGGAATTGGTGCGGCCAGTCTATGTCTAACAAATTAATTTTGAACCACGAATTCGCCGCTCTTTCGCATCTGTATGTAGGTAATCTGTGACACAGATAGACACAACATTGCAGTTAAAGTAATACAGCAAGCATTGGCCCATAAATATGGCCTTATCACCACAGAAACACCATATTACCACTACACGCCAGACAGTATACTTGAGAACAAGAGTTTCAAACTCTACTACGACATAGATATACGAACGGACAAAACTGTACACCTTAATAAACCAGATCTCACTCTGATAGAAAAGGTAAATCAAAACACATATCTAATAGACATAGCAATACCTACAGATAAGAACATCAGCAAAAAGTACGCAAAAAAAATTGAAAAATATACGCCCTTGGCAATGGAAGTTAAAATAATTTGGAAACAGAAATAAGTCTACATCATACCATTTATATTGTCCGCAAAAGGCATAACACATAAAGCATTTACTCGATATCTAAAACGTCTGCAGCTAGATACAGTCATACATGAGTACCTACATACAGAAAGCCATAATACTAAAAACATGCAATATAAACCGAACTTTCCTCAAGTAGGTAGTAATTTCATTAGGTAAACTTGGTACCCATCCGTCTGCCTAGGGAGAAACCGGTTGAATCCGAGACAACATTTGAATGATGATAATAATAATAATATTATTATTATTATTATTATTATTATTATTATTGAGGAAACTCAACCATCGGTTCAGTGTTTTATAATACTGGCCTTAAGTCTCTTCTTATATGGCCATCAAGACAACCAACAAAGACTAAGGCAAGATGCTCTCAGGTACAGGAACAGAATTGGCCAGAGTTGAATAGTTTTGCTCTCATAAATGACCAAAACCTAGAAG